TGTCTTGCTTTTAAGAGGCCTGTAGTATGCGGATGTAAATACGATGTTTTGCTGCCGGACCGTGGCTCTCACTGCAACGATTTCTTGATTTTCATTACAATAGGGGGTTAGATCTACTTGGTGCTGGGGCCAGTCGCACCTTACATAGACGAGCGCTTTCCCTGGCGGGGAGGCAGATTGCCCCGGCCGTTTACTAGTTATGGACGGGCTTGAGTAGGTAGTGTAACCATTGAAGTTGATGCTTGTAGTATTAGTCTCCTGAAGCAGTAATACATCAGGACGCTCGTCAGGCTTGTCCAACAGACGTACTCGGAGCTCGGCCGCCCGCTTGCGGAGCGCCTGGCAGTTCCATTGGAGCACCCTTATCATTAGCGTTAAAAAGTATTCGCTGTAAGTGCCCTCATCTGACTGAGGGTGGACTTGTGGTGGTTGTTCTCTTCTTGCTGGGCTTGGACAATGGCCTTGAGCCTGTCTAGCTCGGCTTTGAAGTAGTTGCAGGTGTTGCGTAGTTCTTGGTAGGGATGTCGCGAACCACCCTAGGTTCGATTTCGAAAGGTTTCGATATTTGCGAAGCGAACTGAGGTTCGATTTCGAAAAAATTCGATATTTTCGTACCGACCGAGGTTCGATTTCGAAAAATTCGCAACTTTTGTCCACAGCGGAGTTTCGAAATCGAAAATTTCGAAGCTTTCACGGTTTCTAAAATTTCGAATTCGATATTTCGAATATTTTTTTACTTCAGGTTCGATAAATTCGAAGATTTCAAAATTCTTTGTAAAAAAAATTCGAAAACTTCGAACGCTTCGAATTTTTATAGACATGAAGTTCGAACAATTCGAAGATTTCGAATATCTTTTGGCATAAAGTTCGAAAAGTTCGAAAGTTTCGATTCTCTTTTAACGCTAAATTAAAAAAAAAAAAAAAAACTTTGAAGGTTTTGAATTTTTTTAAATCCAAGTTTTCAAAGTTTGAAGTCCGATTTTCAAGTTTTTCTACAGTTTCAGTTTCAAATAACGTTTTCACGACTCGCTTGTTTTCACAAAATCAAGTTTAGAAAAGTTAGGGTGTGATATCTAGATTCTGCGAAGTTGGTAAGGCAATTAAATGAGACGACGAGTGTCTTGGACGTGCTAGAATATTTGCCAGTGCAGAATTGTGACCGCCAGCCCCCCGGGGGGGGGGGGGTCGGGTCTTTATCATGCAGTAGTGATTGCACGAACACACTGTTTTACGAGACTCATCCAGTTCGAAACGGCCAGGGGCAAGCAGGAGGTTGAGGCTCAGAGAAACCTTGAAGCGACCTGGAAAACTAGCTCGCCACCCCTTGCACGCTGGTAGTAATCCGATCCGGTGAAGTTTATAATTGTACTGGAGGTTTATTTTCTGGGACGGAGGAATCGCCTCGCAAAAAGCACAAAAGCCGACACAACTCGAGGTCGAGGAGCGTTCTACCATACAAGTGGCGTCGGAAGAGGAAAAACGGGGGGAAAGAGGGTAGCGGGGGGGGGGGGGGGGGGGGGGGAGGGAGGGGGCTTCAGCCTTTTTCTCCCCCTTGCAGGTATTTCGGACTGTTAAAGAAAACAATACGGGGAAAGAGGGCGTGGTCGAGCTTATTTTAATCTGAAATTATTTATGCATATGTATAGCTACTGTCGCTCTTCACTGCATAAAAGGTTGCGTAGATGGTCATTGTTAGAAACTCGTTGTCAGAAGGCACTGCTCGTCACATGCTTAGTGGTTCGGAAGTTCAAAGCTGTCTTTTCGACCTAAACACCTGTGCCGATAGTAACAAAAGAAAAGAAAAAAAGAATAAATGCGGGAATAAAAAGCAGGAGAAAAAAAAAAAAACTATCAAGAATTCGTCGGAAGTGTTCTATTCTTGCATATTCAGAGGTTCAGAACTTCGAAACAAGTTTCTTTTACCAAAATGTGTACAGGCTAAAAGAAACACGTCCCAGGAACGTGAAGCGAAAAAAAAAAAAAAGTTTTCTTTTAATGACGTGCTGAACTTTAACACTACTAGAAATCTTCTGCCATGAGTTAATTTATTCCTTAACGTGAAAAAACAATAAATATATTATTTTGTATTCTGCAGATGGCAATGATATGTACAGTGTGTGGTGTTAATTTAAATGCGATACCTCAAACAACTTAGACGAAAATAAATATCAAGTTTAGGTCATAATTGCATGCAGATACATGTTTGGACATTTCTTCGAAACTCACGTTGAATAACAATAATCACATCTTAAGACGGCACTTACCTACGCTATACATAGATCATTCTTAAAAAAAAGTATAACATATCTACCATAAATAGCTCCGGCTGCAGCGTGCTTCAAATCTGGCACAAACGATAATCGTCAAAAACCCATCGTCCGTCCTCGCCCCTTCGGGGATTTATTTCTTTAAACCTAAGCATGCCAGAACATTGAAATAAATGACATTGTCTTTCGTAAGGAACGCAGCACCGCGTGTAAAAGTTCGAGAAAAAAAATTACGAATGTACCCCACTACTTGAAATCAAATGAAACCGTCCGCCGGTCTTTCGAAGTTCGACGAACGTCGAACTTTTACCCTATAAGTTCGAGGTCGGCGAACTTCTGACTTTTCAGAATTCGAAAGTTCGAAACTTTTCGAATTTTCTTGATAAATAAGTTCGAAAGTTCGAAATTTATCGATTTTTTTGGTCAGTCAAGTTCGAAAGTTCGACAAGCATCGAACCTTGCAGCGCAATAAGTTCGAAAGTTCGAAAAAGATCGAATTTTTTAGCGTAATAAGTTCGACGGTTCGAAAAGCGTCGAACTTCTTAGCTTAACAAGTTCGAAAATTCGACCTCCGTCGAATTTTACGATATAGACAATTCGAAAAATCGAAATCTTTCGAACCTTTCGAACCGCTTGATTCGATCATCGAAACTTCGATTCGAAAAAAGTTCGCGGCATCCCTAGTTCTTGGATCTCCGCCTGTGACGACGGTGATGGTGGTGGAGCGACGATGCCGTGTTTGACTCTGTCAGCCCACGAAGTGCCGCTGGGAGGGACCGGGGTCTTGACAGCCCCGGTCGCAGTCTGCTCCTGCTGCTGCTGTTGTTGTTGCTTATGTTGTTCTCGGAATTTTTTTACGTCTTCCCGCATTCGCTTGTTGGTCTCTTGCCATGTGGGGCATTTGCGGTCCGTTCCCAGGTGGCCCTTCTTTCTGCACCCTTGGCAGTAGGGTGTGGAGTCGGGGCATCCGGGTCCCTGGGTAGGACCCGTAGAGGCTAAACGTTGAGTTCCGCAGATGGGGCACACGGCAGTATTTGGGCAGATGTCCGGTTTGTGTCCCAATCGGTGGCAGTTACCGCACGTCACCGCTTTCGGCTTGAACGGGAAGACTCGCATATATCTGTTGCCGTACAAAACGGACCTCGGCGTCTTTTCTCCATCAAATGTGAGCATTGCCGTGTTAGACTTTCCCAGTCTACGAGCAGCGACCACCTGGATCTTCTCAGATTCCAATTCAAGGTTCAAGACGTTGTCTTGGGGATCCTCTTCTTTTGAGTAAATGTCGTAGATAACCCCTTTGCAATAGGCGGTTCCGTACGTTCTAAAGACTTGTACAGAAACTGCTTGTCCGCCAATGTCGACCTCGGTTATCTTCTCGAGGGTTTCGGCCAGCTGTTTCGAGACCGTGCGGACTGAAATAGTGTTGGCCTTGTCTAGTAGATGCATTGTGAATGCTGTTGAAACGCTCGAGAGGTGCGTTTTCAGTCTTGGTAGTAGTGGCTTTATCGAGACTTGGGACCGTGTTAGGCGGATCTTGTACTCGAATTGCCAACGCCGGGAGGGCTTGGCCTTCTCATTATTTTGTTGTGTCGGGTCCTCGCGAGCCCGTTTCCTTTTCTTCCTGCTCGTGACGGTGGTGAAGCCGTCCTCTTCTTCCGTTTGTTCTGTAGTAGGTGGCGCGGCGGCCGCAGGCTTTGGTGCCGGTAGTGTCTTAGCAGGCACTGAGCTGTCGCCCTGGCTCCCTGCTGGTTGTGGCGTCTTGCCAGATATAGGTGCAGCGCCGGCTGGCGCTGGCAGAATTGTTGTTGTGCTGCTTTTCAAGGCTTTCTTAGAAGTCGCAGACTTGTTCTTCTTCTTCCCCTTGGTAGTTGGCACGATTTCGTGAGATTCTCCAATGACACTTCTGAAAATATCGATAAGGCTCTCTTTCGATATGCTCGAAAGGAGAGCCCTTAAGACTAGCTCGACAGATTGGGCTGTGCTTGGGACTGTGGAGGGCTCACCAAATTGGAAGACTGTTGAGCACCCCATCGTCGATTTGTTTAGTATCGAGGCTGGAGCAGGTCCTGCTCCCGTCGTGGTAGTGGCGGGACCGGCGTTACTCGCATTCCTCGTGTCCATGGCCTCTGGTTGACCGTGGCTGGTCGATGCGTTGCTCGAAGTCCTGGCCGCATCTTCCGGTTTTACCGAGGGACAATCCCCCGAAGATCCAAAAGGGGGGCCCGAACTTGGCAGCTCGGGGCTGGGCTTAGCGCCGAGCATTTTCGAAAAAGTCGAGAGCTTGAGAAAACACGTCCGATCACATCGGTGGCTTCTTCTTTCTCCCCCAATCGATCCCACAATGTATTTCGCATTATTTTCGTATTTTCCAGCACGCGCTCCTTGCCTTCCCTCGTGCTTTGGCGGATCACGCGCGCTCAGGGTGCTCGAGATGCTGAAGCATTGTCGAAGGCAGGAAGCTCGCGCTGACACGGCGGCACAACTGAAGCTCCTCCTTGCCGTCGCACAGCACCACTTTCTTACGTTTTCTAAACGTTACGTATCAGTCACCGAAACATTAGTGTCTCGAATTTCACGCGCCAGGCTATCTCGCTGAACCGGTATACCACGCTTGATGTGAAGCGCGAAATTGTCCCGGTGACCCGTGACGTAAGCAGACGTAAGCCTTCCTAACGTAAGGTGAGAAAACGGAGCTGTGCGAACCCCTCGGTAGTGCCGAAGGTGTACACTTACATGCTGACGGAAACATTCGTCGGCTTCTTCCCTCAGCTTGGCTTGAACTTCGGGATGCAGCGCAAGGAGGTAGAGGGTAAATGCGAGCACGGATGACGTCGACTCTTGACCGGCGACAAAGAAGAGAATGCACTGCGCCATGGCCTCCTCTTCAGTTAAGGCTGCAAGAAGGGGTTACAGGAGGTGAACATCGGGGAAGTACCAGCTTTATTTTAAGACTGTGAGCACAGAACGGTCTTTTGGTCACCGACATCTTAAGAGACGCGGGGCGGGGAGTGGTGCGTTACCCGCATTTAATCATATCTCCTCAGCCAGTCAGGTTCCGGCAGTAGCTGATAAGAACGCCGTAGAACGAATCACCAATCTATGCGGAACGCAAGTTCGTCTGCTTTTGTACAGGTACTGCGATGACGTCAGAACGCCGAGGTATTATTGGCTGATTGAGAAAAATAGTGGGTAGACCTCGAGGCATGTAACATTGAGGTCTGCTCACTATTCTTTCAGTCAAAGCCAATCAGAGTTCGGCATCAGTCTGACGTCACCACAACTCCTGCTCAAGAAGCTGACAACTTGCTCTCCGCTATGATAAGACGCGTCCCTGCGTTTCTGAAGTTGTCAGTGACACGTAAAAACAGAGTTAGGCGGAGAAAGGAGAGATCAATTTTAAATCACGCTGGGATCTCACTAAATAGTCAGACGCTAAGTGCGTCGATGTTTGCTTTAGAAAACACGGAAGCCAAGCGGACCTTTAGCACCTCCCTCGAACGAGGTGTCCGCCTTGATCTCCGAGTCCAGATTGAAGAGTTTCTCGTTGGCCGATGATGTAGATTCAGCCGCAGCTTCAAGGACACCGTCTTGGGCGTCCATCATAAGTTGCAAGAAATCGTCTTGCCGCTAAAAAAATGGGCGAAAGAAAAAACTCTGCCGTGCCGGTTAATAAACATTTTAAAATTTACTCTACCCCATTTTTACTCTAGAGACGCAGTCACGAATGATGCAAAATATAGTCTGCATGCAGACACTGTCCGAGACCCGTTTATTTTCTGTATTTGACAGTCGCGCTATACACTGTATATAGTGAAGTTGTACACGCGGAGAGTTCGAGACTACTACATGCCAACTGCAACAAACATGTTTATTAACGATGCACTCCGTTTGGGAAGTCCCCACCAAGGGCCCTTTACTGTAATCACTCTAAACACTACTCATACATACGCTGTCTGCAGACAATGTTTTGAAGCACACACACGCGTGAAGAAAACACATGTTTCAAAAGCTGATCGAGGCGCAGATAAATCTCTCATCATATCCCCAGCAAACACCCTGTCTTTTGTACGATGGATGGAGGCTAGGTGGCGGAAGCTACCGCCCGTTACAAAAGGTATCTCCATAAACATCCATTCGTCCATCCCTGAGCAGACCTGCTCATGGATATTAATAATGATAATAACAATAATAATAATAATAATAATAATAATAATAATAATAATAATAATAATAATAATAATAATAATAATAATAATAATAATAATAATAATAATAATAATCATAAATCTTCAATTTTTCATCACTAAAACCGGGGACCAAGACAAAAAGCTGCTGCAGCAGCTTGGCGGAGGTCCTGGCCCCCTTTAGAGCAGGCGATTTTCAAGCGATTAAAAAAAAAGAACAAAATATCTACACTGAGAGAAATTACACAATTTAAATTTACAGACAACAGATATAACAAAAACAAGAGAAAGAAAAATTGATACATTCATTGTTGTATACAATGGTACGGTGATCCGTATGCCTTAGCCGTACCCAAGAAAACAACCCTAAAATAATGCTCGTACCTCTGCCAGCATCATTGCATGAATATCATCACCTTTTAAAATAATTCATTTAATAAAGTAGTTAATTGGCAATTTAGCGTGTGGTTATAGTATAATCTGTGTGATGGTGAAACAAACTATTTTTCTTTAGGGCGGAGTTAATATGAGGGAGTGAAAAGGACTAGGTTACATAATTCCTCAAAAACTTTATTTTTAAACTATGTAGACTTCTTGTACGCCAGAAGAAGTCGGGACCTGCAAATATTTGAAATTGGTTTTATATTAAAAAATGAGAACAAGTGTTCAGTATGATCATAGTATGAAACATTGGTAATAGCACGCACAGCTTTCTTTTGTAAAATATGTAGTTTATTTATAGTTGTTTTAGAGGTATTTCCCCAAACTAGATGACAACCATTAAGTTAGGAATATACCAAAGCAATGTAAAGTTGGAGCTTAACACAATGAGGCAACAATGATTCAAACTTGGTTAGCAACCCCACTGTTTTTGACAGTTTAGACGAAAGATAATCAACATGTTCATTCCAAGACATATTTGTAAACCAAATGCCCAAGGTCCTAATAGTGTCGACAAATTCACTTTCTTCATTGTTCAAAAAATCAGTGGGTTTGGGATAATAACTGTAGCACGCTGACTTTTAAATAAAATGACCGTTTTTTTTTTGAAAATTTAACTTAAGGTGATTATCTGTTATCCGTTGTTTAACACGATCAAGAACGCTATTACATGTAGTTACTAGAGTACAGATATCTTTATCGGAAAAGAAGATGCTAGTGTCATCAGCAAAACTAGCGCTCGCAAGAAAATACGGTTTTCTGCTTTTCGTTCCATAGGTGACGCAGATTCATTTCCGCAGTTAATTGGCCAAAGTCTGAAAAATTGTTGCATAGCCCCTTTAAAGGGGCTGTACAACAATTTTCAGTGTTTCAGACTAGTTCGTATTAAAAAAAAAAAAAAAAAGATCAAACAAATCGAAGGTCAAAGTGCCTCTCCACTCTCCACGTCGCTTTTCGAGTGACGTACTCTGGGGGTTCACGTAGTTTCCCCTTGGGTCCTCTTTTCAGAAACCAGCCGCTTCCTCCGCGATTGTCGACTTTTAAAGGGCAACTCCGCTCAATTCCGAAAAATTTAGGCTTACATGGGATACCTTTTCACAAAGCACTACTAAATAGCTCTACGTCTTCGGATTCGCGAAATGTGGAATATTATTTGTGTAATCTTAATTTAAACATCAGCTGATACCGAAACCGAAACTTCGTTTGCGTCAGGCAACATTGGTCTCGAGTCGTCAGAGTCATGGCCACGTCACGTCGAACCACGTGGTCTTGTGACGTTCGTGGGGGAGAAGTACAGGACACGCGACGCGGATATGCGGGCAGGTCGCTTCGCATGGCGTGGACGGTGATGGCCCGGGGGAGAAAGAGAAGGGAAGAAGACGAAAGAGGAGAGGGGGCGCGGAGAAACAGACCGATAAGCGCGCAGGGCAGCGCAAACTAGCGCATCCGCGTTACGGTGATCACGTGGACGCCGTTCAGCCAACACCGGGAGGAGAAACTCATGACGTCACCGTTCAATTTCGCTCTGAGAAATAAAAACAAACAGAACGTGAGAATGACGTAGTCATGCCTCTGACGTAGTGGAGTCAACGTTGGCCGCTCCAACTCTGTCGCATTGACTGCGCTGACGATTGCGCCTCAAGTCGCACGCTAGGGTTGGCAGATTTCGGCGTCTTGGCTCATTTGAAAGTTTGCTGGCCAGTTTATTAAATATATAGACGGAATTAGATCGTAATATTTGACATGGGGTCTTCCTATATGATTCTGAAGAGGGCTGAATAGTTTTCTAAATATCAAAAATGAAGCGGAGTTGCCCTATAAAGGATTAGCCTCGTCGAAGGTCGCGGCGAGCGATCGACACAAAGGAAGGTTCGCCACGGAGCTGACGGTGAGTGTAGCAGCGGAGGGGGACAGGTTTTGTTGACTTCCGCGTATCCCCCAAAGGGGGTGTCATTTTAGTTCCCGTAATCCCGACAGGCGGCTGCAGATTGGCAAATAATTCGTTTTCTGCTTTGCGATTACGCAGCAGAATAGCGTTTTTTTGGGGGGGAAAGGTGACGCGTTTTTCGTCGCTTGGGCTTCCATAAACTATACAAAAAATGCCAACTGCCAATAATTGCAACATTAAACTCATTGCACTGCGCCTTTAACTACATAAATATAAAAACAATATTTCTAAATAAAATATTGAAGACAAACAGGTGAAGCTGCCTCTGTATTGTATTTACAAATGCGTCAATTTCCCGATTTGCCTATATGAACTAATAATATTTTCGAGCACTTCTTGTTCTAGGGTAGGTACTTATTATTTTGCTTTCCGACAGCACAAAGCCAAAACTATTGTCCCTTAAAATAGCCGCCACTAAACCTGAAACATAACACGTACCTATTTTATTCCAATTGTGCGAAAAGGTTCCTCGCTTTTCAAATGTATCGTGCATAGCTAAGGAAATAAATTATGGATTAGAAGTAACTTGCGCTACTTCTAACATACTTCTGGTCCAACGTGCCGCAGATGCATAATGTACGACGTAATACAATCCAAAGTCTACACGGAATAATGACATTTTCACTCTCGTGATTGGAGCTTTGACGTTCTCGTCAGCAAAGACACCGTAGAACCTTGACATCGAAATGCGAAATAAACAGAACAGAACAGATGTGCGTATAGGTCCTTACACCTCGGGTTTCTTTGCGATTGGCGATTATTTTGAGGCAGAGGTTCTTGAAGTAAAGAAATACTTCAGTGTTGAGAGCCTTCAGTTTCAAAAGTTTGAAAACCTTGGGGAACAAAACTGAAACAAGCGTAAACAAAACAAGGTCTTACACACACAAGATTCTATTCGGAATGTAATGAAGCATGATAACTTTCCGGCGAACACTACGTAGATGCCGACAGCTTAAGAAATCTAGGGCGGGGCTTCTAATTAGGTTCACTCGTCTATACGCGTTTTCAGCCCAAGAAACAACAACCAACCAAGTTTTGCGCGCTGTCCATACGCCGCGCAAACTGCACTCTAAGAAAAAATAGAGGAAAAAAGTAGAAACGGCGCGTCTCCCTCCCTTCTACTGACGCGCCTCCAAGCGGACACGAGAAGAAGGGAGGAACGAGACGTTTTCCTCCTTCTCCAGCCAGACGGGAGAAAGCTTTCGCCCTCCCGACTCATCTTCTTTCGGTTTCGTTTTTCGAGCACGTCGCGCACATTGTTAAATAAATGTTGTTGAGTTGATTGAGCTTCAGCGGCAGCGAAGGCCGTCTGTAATTCCGTTTTCTAGTCCTAACATGCAGAACATTTCGGTTGCATTGACGTTTTTACCACTAATTTGATCAAACGAGCAAACGAAGCCGTTAAAAACAGTAAAGATCCGGAGCAGTGGCGGCAGCGATACCTACACTGGGTAAGATGGCCGTCTCTGGATTGCGGCGAGACTCACGCGGAACTACAGTAGCGGAACCATACGGAACTGTGTCGACGTTTTCAACGTTATGGAAATTGCAGGAATTGCGTCCAAGGCAGACAGGTTTTCCTGCCGGCTGCCTGGGTGCCTTCCGTGCTGACCCTCTGGATGGCTGACAAACATTATGCTGTCGAAATCATCTAACGATTCAAAAATTTCATGGTAGTTGAGCTGTTGCTACGTAGATGTGCCACGTAATTAAGTCACCGACTAACTGTTCGTTGGTTTCTAAGCTCGATGTGCGTTGGTTTCAGCGCACACAACTCTCGTGAAATTCCTTCTGCAGTCAAGCATATCGCACGAAGAGATGGCGTTAGTCAGCAGCCGGTTGAAATGAAAAACGCACAACGCCGTGGCACAGCCAGCCATTCAGAATCCCAAGACCTGTCGTTTCCGAGGCCCTCTGCATCCTCTGCATCCTCTTCTCCCATCTCCCTTTTTCTTGTGGCTTTGTCATTATTTGCGTGAGCCTGCCCCGTTGCACTGCAGTGACTGACCGTCACGCTCCTCCTTACCACCAGAACGCCGTCATTCATCGTTGTTTTGCTTTTCTTACTTTTTCTCCTCTTCTTGTTCCAACTTTCTTCAAAGCCCTTCTCCCACTTTCCCGGTGATCGGACAGGGGAGCCAAGGGCTCCATGGAGTCACAAGGTCCACTAATTGATCTGTTGACGAGTTGGACCCCCTGACTAGTCAAACACGAGTCACAAGATGCAATGTGGGTCAAGAGGACCAACGCGTCAAGATATCTGACGTGTCAAAAGATCCCCGGTAAGTCAAGAGTCCAACGAGTCAGGAGGTCCAATAATGGATCTTTTGATGCGTTGGATTTTTTAACTACCTCTTGACTCGTTAGACATCTTTACTCGGAATCTAAATCTGCCGCTGTTCAGGGTTCCCTTGCGTGCTTATTGTCCAAAAGACTCAGTCCTCCTTGGAATTGCAGGTAAGAACAAATTTAAGCGAGGCCAACTTAAGTATCCATAGCGCATGTCACTCTCTCTACGTACTTACAAGCTACAACTAGTCGCAGTGTTATTCCGCTTGAAATTGCCTGCTTGGCTTTGGTTACAAACTCGTTGGTCTCATCACTGTGCGAGTCCAGTCGGGTGGCGAATGCGCACCTGGCAATCACATCGAGGGCGTAGTTCGCGTAGAATCTGCATAGAAACACCATAAGTAATGAAGTAGTGACGCACAGGATCGGTTTCTTGATAGATTCCTGGCACAATCAAAATATTGAAACCGCGTGCATGACCGAAAAGGAAGGCTTCTCAAAATATCTGGAAGATTCGAGTTTACTCTTATCCCGAGTGTAAAAAATAAGGGGGCCAGAATGACCTTGATTACTCAGTCTTGCCTCCCCATCTTTTCAAAAGCACAGAACAAAAACCGATAGAATCGTGTGCCAGTTACTTGAAAGGTTTCACAGTTGATGTGCAAAAAATCGCGGGAACACGTCCATAATAAACATAGTCTAAACCCTGAGACAAGGAGAAATGAAATAACAGACAAGGCGACAGCAAATCCCAAACGCGGCTGAGTTTCTTCGCACGGGGATGGTAATTTATAGCCATCCATACAAACATGAAAGAGGCAACACAAAAGGAAACAAAACAAAAAAAAAAAAAAACAGGCCGCCGCCAATTTGGCAGAACTGACCAAGACAGATGGACCTAGGGTGCCTCCATATGCGCTTCGCATAGAGTGATGCCAACTGCCCGTTTCCCTTTCCCACATCCTCTTCCACCGCCATTTTGTTCCTCTCATTGTTTCCCCGTGCGCCGGAAAGTCGCCTATGTGTCCATCGGTCCTCGCATCCGAGGGGGAAAATGCTAATCCTCCCTCCGTGGGTTCCACAACGCTGCTCCGAACTTGTGAGATAAGGTGCTTGTTTCCGGGAGGGTTATAAACAGTGTTGTACGGAACGGCGTTCTAAGGAACGGCGAAGGAACGGCGTTCCTGGAACGTGTTCCTTTTAGGAGGAACGAAGGAACGCCGCCGTTCCATTTTGCATCGGTGGAACTGGAACGGGAACTTGTTACATTTTTACTGGAACGAAAGAAGTATAGGCGTTCCTTTTATTTTTGTCCCGTTGGGTAATTTTTATTTTATTTCTAAGAGGGAAATTCTAAAAAAGAAGTATAAACACAATATGATTACGAAGAACCTTTTTGTTACTTTTTGTTACTCTCGCTAACCTTTTTGTTACTTATCTTAGGGTTTATATTGTGGGGTTCTCGCTTGGTAAGTCGGGAGCAGGAGAGCTAGTGGACATTGATTCTTTTTGCTGTGCCCAAGACTGTGGTACGAATTTGTCGAAGGAAAACACACGGAAAGAGGGACGTCCCATACTCAGCTACTTTCTTTACTTGCACGAATCCTCATAAATCCAGTAACCTAAGGCCGACTAGAGCCACAACTGAACTTCCACAAAGAGACCTACAGTTACAACAAAAGAACAGGTCACCATATGTCGAATGCACCCTTGTAACCGGAACATCGGTCACTTAAAAAGATACACAAAAAATCAACAAGGCTGAAGTTTGCAATTTAAGGTTATAATAATAATGCAATTAAATGCAACGGTCCTTTATTCCCTCTCCCCTTGTCCCCCACCTTCAAACTGAGCAACAAATCCAACCTCCACAAAGAACGATTTGTAGTTTTCAATACTCACCTTTCAATAGTCCTACCCTCTTCTTCACTTGCTCGTTTTGCGGACAGCAAAATCGAGAAGCAACTTTAGCTAAGTTCAAACAAGGGACTTTGTTATGTTGAAACGTGTGAGGTCGTTGTAAACCGATCGTGCAGTGTGGGGTAACAGTACATTTTGCTCGTCTGAATCGACCGCCACAAACATCATTATGGTTAAAAGCTGACATTTCTAAAGGTGAATATGAATCAGCAAATGAAACCTTGTTTCCGCTTGTTTTCTTCCCCTGGGGCCCTAATCTGTGCGCTTGGCAGAACAGTCTGCGAAAAATCTGCCGGCCGGGATCGTCCCACGCCGCACTTGACCTTGGCGCCGGCCAATCACAGTCGCCCGATTTCTAACTGACTTTTTCGCCAAGTGTCCAGATTAGCGCCCCTGGTGTCCTTTCATCACGACATCCAAATTCTTATCTCGTCATTTGATGGGATAGATAAAAAAACTATGTTTAATTTAGTTAAATGTGATAATCATAAAAATACAAATGTAACGTATATTTAACGATACGTTCCATCTTGGTTAACTGTAACGGGAACGAGTTCCTTTTTTATAAATGGAACTTGTAACGGGAACGCATTCCAAAAATCAGAAGGAGCAAGGAACAAGCTTTCGTTCCTTTTATTGAGGAACGTGTACAACACTGAACAAAATGGCTGCTGGTTTGTCGGCGAGTGGTATTACAAAGGTGGCATCACCCTAGCAAAGCGCACATGAAGGCTCCCTAGATGGACCTCCCCCATACCCCCCCCCCCCCCTTTTTCCAAGGAAAAAAAAAAAAAAAGAAACGTCGATTCTTTAATTTTTTGCATCAAGGAAGTTGTATACGAAATTCAGCTTGATTGTGGGCTCTGCTATATAGGCCGGACGGGTAGGTGGGTAGATTGCGTGGTGCCCGAAAGCATCCGATGTCAAAAGCCCCATGTCAAATGCCCCCGCGGCTTTTGCGCCGCTTTCAAAAGCCCCAATTTCAGAAGCCCTCGAAGAGAATCCCCTGTGTCAGGTGGTCGGGTCCTCAACGTGACGTCGGAGCATTCTGTTTTTAACTAAGAGACAGTCTTTGCACGCGAGCTTCTGTAACGTAAGCATGCCGTACCCGGGATTTAAGTATGGAATAACTGTATAATGCTCTTCAGGCGTGCGCTAAACACATTCACGTCTTGAGACGTTAGAAGTGAAATTATGCGAAACATATCAGTCACTGGCAAAACATTTGAAGGTACAGCTTTTATCAATAGAGAGTTTTAGTAGATCGTTCCGACACCTCCGATAGCCCCGATAACGATACTATGCATGCTCAAGGGAGGCGGTGGCGGAGTATCGGGTATCGTTATCGGAGTCATGGGAACGAGCTACTAAAACTCTCTAATATGTAAGCATCGAACCGAGGCTTCCGTCGACTCTGAAGTACGCGCGGATTCACAGTTCCGACAATGTGGGCTCTGTATGAACTCTTAACCCGCAGTTCATGACGTTATAGGAGTCACATCACCAGATACCAGTTGCATTGTTCTTACGTCGTTTTAAAAATAAATTTTATTCATCTATAGTCAGAGGCAGGCTATGAATTCAGGGAAGCTCCTTTCACCTCGTCCCACTTTAGCAGAGCGAAGGCTGGAGAGAAGGCGACCTTCTCTCCAGCGTTCGCTCTGGTTCAAGGGATGCTGAACCGAAATTTGGAGTTCACAAAACGTGACTGGAGCGAAAAGCTGGACGCTGCAAAACCCCAAAATATCACTCATACAGCGATATCTGTAGCGGATGGCTGAATTTTTGGAAAAGAAGTGGACGATTGAAACAAGGCAAACGAGACATCTTACGTCACGATTCTTGTTCCCTCTCCTCTTCGCTTTGTACCCTCGAGCAGGTGAACCGAAGCGAGGAGGGAAGAAGCGAGGCCGCTTCCCCTCATTCTCCACTGTTCCGGGAGAACATGAGGAAAAGCAACCCCAGTAAACACGGACAAAGAAGAGGAATGAACAAGACAGGACAACGGCTGACTCGCAACTGGACTTTATTCTATAAATAGAAGAGAAAGGAATCTTCTTAAACACATTGCGCACGCCTACCAAGCATCGAGAGGGCACAAATATATCGTTTTACAAATCGGCACTCATGCTAGACCTAAGGTACGTCATCAACTTATCGAATAACGCCACCAAGGGTTCATAACGCACCTGCGGTCTAACATGAGTGCCAATTTGTAAGGTGATATTGTCACGGGTGGTGACCAAAAAAAAACAGGAAATAAACAGAAAGAAATAAACATTTAATGTGGCGAACTTGTGCCAAAAATAAACGAGTACAAAAGATAATAATAGAGCGTCGCGGGCGTCGAAGTCGGCGTAGCAGCAGAGTTGAACGCTGGTGCGAAAACTGACTCCGTTCGCCTTGCGGAATCCCTTATGTACCCTCGTGGGTTTCTGGATCGTTCGGCGTAGAAGGTTCGGCGCGTAGAACATTCTGACCTCGAACAAGCAACATGGTTCTCGAATTTACCAGAACATTACTTTACAGAGTCAACAAAAATGCGCCTCCGCGTCCAGGAATCGAACCCTGGCTTCCAGCGTGGAAAGCACGCGCGATAACCGAATTAGGCCACGCGCGCGCTGCCTACTTGGCCAGTTGCGCGCGCGGCATTACTCCCCCCTTTAAAAAAGTGCATCGTCCCGATGCAACCCAAAAACAAAATGAAGCAAATAAAACAGAACGGTAAACTAAAGAGTCACATAAGGTCCACAGTCCTATCGAGCGTAGTACGGCTTCAGTCGCACGACGTGGACGACTTCCGGTCGTGGAGGGCGGCGTGACGAAGTCCTTGTTCCGTCGGGCATCACCTCGTAGTTCAGATCCCCGAGTCGACGAAGCACTTTGTAGGGTCCAAAGTATCGTTTCAGCAATTTCTCACTGAGGCCGCGGCGACGGATGGGCGTCCATACCCACACCCTATCTCCGGGCTGGAAGTGGACGTCCCTGCGACGAAGGTTGTAGCGGCCGGCGTCGACGCGTTGCTGGTCTTGAATCAGGAGTCGGGCGAGCTGGCGAACTTCTTCGGCGCGTTGAGCAACCGCCTGGGCGTCGTCGCTCTCATTGCCAGATGGCTCATGGGGCAGCATGGCGTCCAGCATGGTCGTTACCTTCCGACCATGTACCAGCTGGAAAGGGGTGAATCCAGTGGTCTCTTGAACCGCCGTATTGTAGGCGAACGTGACGTAGGGCAGCACCTCGTCCCACGTCTTGTGCTCTACGTCGACGTACATAGAGATCATATCGGCGATTGTCTTGTTGAGTCGCTCCGTCAGCCCGTTGGTCTGCGGGTGGTACGCAGTTGTACGACGATGGCTGGTGTGACTGAGTCGGAGGATTTCTTGGGTCAGTTGTGCCATGAACGATGATCCGCGATCTGTAATCAGAACTTCTGGAGCGCCGTGCCGGAGGGCGATGGACTCA